CCCCTGCCCCCCTTCACATCACCCCTGCCCACTGTGGTGTCCCCTGCCCCCCTTCACATCACCCCTGCCCACAGTAGTCCTGTACCCCGCCCCCTCAAAGCAGTGTCCCCTGCCCCCAATAGCAGTGTCTTCTACTCCCCTCCCCCCACAGTAGTGTACTGTAACCCCCCCCCCCCAAAAACAGTGTCCTCTGCCCCCTTTACATCACATCCCCCCCACTGAAGTGTCCTCTGTACCCCTCCCTCCCCCTAGTGTCCTGTACCCCTCACAGTAGTATCCTCTGCCCCTTCCCCCATTGCAGTGTTCTCTACCCCCCACAAAGTGTCCTCTGCCCCCTGAAAGCAGTGTCCTCTACCTTCCCATTCCCCAAAGCAGTGATCTCTGTCCCCTCTCACATCATACACACCCCTGTAGTGTCCTCTGCCCCCCCCCCCCTTCCTTCTCCCAACAGTGTCTCCTCTGTCCCTTTCACATCACACACACATTTGCAAACAGTGTTGTGTAGGTAGCACTCTCCTACCTGACAGTGTGTATACAGCAGAGCAGAGGGCAGGAGACAGCATAGTGCTAGACAGAAGGCAGGAGCTGCTGGAGATAACTTTTCATAATAGCAAGCTGGTGATTGGTTGCTAGGACTGCCTGCTGGTTAACTTAAGAGGTTTACTGAGGCAGCTCCTGCCCACCATCCAGCACTATGCTGTCTCCCACTCTCTGCTCTTCCGTGAACATGAGAGGGCAGAAGCTGGGGGGAAGGCAGAGCCGAGTTCATGATCTACTTGTCTGCTCCCCACAGTTGGCCAGTAGATAGCGATCGATGGTTTGTTGATCCCTGATTTAACTATTACCACCACCCTTAGGACCCCAATTCCCTCCCTGCCACATTAGTCATGAAAATCGGAACTTCACTCTCTCAATCAACTGACTATTTTTAATCCTTATGCTGCTGCCATTAGTAAATAGATAGGAAGGTATATTCTATTTACTTATCTTTTTTTTTTTGCATTTCTTCAGTTACTTCCTGGTTTCCATGCCTAGGCAAATTGTCATATATCCCAGGAGTCTTCAGGAGGGTGCCTGCATGTCTGAGCTAAGGGCAGATGGATTCCAGGAAATAAATGTCACATGAATTATATGTCCTTACTCAAAATGGCCATGGCCAGAAATGCTATGGGGTATTATTCAAAGTGATTTCTCATCAAAATAAAGCATTAGGACGTGGATGGATGGGGAAGTTTGCTTTGAATATTAAAAATTAATAAAGTGTTTTTGGTTTGTGGTGCTCAGGTGCAATGTAGTTCCGCTTTAGTGGCTGATGATTCACTGGTTTAGGCTGCAGAGCGGCATGGCACTTAGGGGCCTCCACACCTTGCCTCTGAACATTATTAAATTCAGACCACAATTTAGAGGCCGCAATATCCTTTACCTAACTGTATAGCAATAAAGAATCCTCTATTAATTTCAGCAACATTCTTCCCATAAAATTATATGTGAACATACTTAACCACTGGCCAATAGTAATTTTACAGCTGCCCAACGGCTTCCCTGGGCACTGTGACTTACCAGTACGTCACAGCGTTCATGCGCATTGCATGAGCCCATGGGTGTGCAGTGGTGTGATCTGTAAACGCTGTTTCCACCGGACACAGCATATTGCGGTGCTGAGTATTGGGCTGCTGTGAGCAGCCCAGTTACCACGTGATGTGCGATCTTGTCACCTATTAAAAAGTAGTCATGAATGGAATCAATTCATGACATGATTTTTTACTGCTGAGTGTAATTGCTGATTGGTCACTAGTGATCACATGGTACCTGGGCCACTCACGGAACCCTGTACCATGTGATAGCTGTGAGCCAATCACAGCATCACAGTATTAAACAATGAGTAATGACTGAAAGCCATGCATGACAGTTCAAACTATTGTTGTTTCAGTGATCATCACTGTAACACGCTGTGACAGACCCAACCAGGATAGGGACTTTTGAAGAGGACTGGAGTGTAGCTGGCTAGCTAAGACCAGTCCTAGGTTGCTAATATGGTTCACATATATGTGTATACCAAACCTGCCAATAACCTCAGTACAGTGTATATGTGCATATGTTAAAGCCAAAAGCAGAATCATTGCTGTGATTTATGTCTTTGAATGTTATATGACATTTATATATTCATTGTGTTAGCAGAAGCAGAAAAGGAAAATATGCCTTTAAAGAGTTAGTATAGAACTGAGCCAATCACAGACAGCCTCACACTGTACAGAGCCTTAACCAATACCTGCCAGTTTCACATTTGTGCCTGTGTAAAACTCCCTGCTAGAATATTTTAGAAACACATGCTCACCAGACAGAGGAGGAAACAGACAAAGTTCCAATCAGAGAAGCTCCATGGAGGCAGAGAAGGCCAAATAGGTATTTAATGCACTTGTGTGTTCCTCTATTGTTTAACAGTGCAGGTAAATCTGTGTCTAAAAACTGTTGTATGTGTTTACTTGTAGTTCCACCGAACTTACGAATCAAGTCACTGTAGAGTAATCATTTACAAATTTACGAACCTATCGAATTTACGAATTTAATGAATTAATCTAACAACATAAGCTAACGAATCTATCGAGATAAGCTATTGAATCAACCCAATGTAATACGAATTAAACCATTGTAATATGAAAGAAATAAGCCATTGTAAGCAGTGTTATATGAAGAAGATTGAAGTTATTAAAGAAGTTAACTAAAGTATTCAGTGTGCTCTTTAAACCTACTGCATCCATAGAGCGGCATTGGAGGAATTACAGAGTAAAGTCAGTCTAATCAAACAAAGAAACAGCAATTGCATAATTTTTCTGATGCCACAGCGCTCAAGGCACTACAAGTGCTGCGCCTGCCACATGAAGACTAGGCTGTTGCCTACTGACCATGGGCCCTGGCATCTGAGGGGGCTCTACTCTTTGGGAGTTGCGTGCCTGGGGGGACCTTTGGAGTTTTATTTTGGATTCAAGTCCATGTCTTGCCAAAAAACACACAGACTCTGAGAACTGGAGGACCCAGATACAGATTTGGGGCCTCTGTATCCAAACCAGCATTGACTGCTTCAACTCCCCTCCTAAACTCAGAGACTGTAAGCAGATGTTAATGTAATCAGCTCAAAACAACCTGATGCTGAGGTCTCTTGCTGTAATCTGTTTATTAAAGTGTGATGTGTTTACTGTGTCTTTGTCCCTTTGTTAATTGAGTCACCTATTGTTTCTGTCTGTTGGAGGTTCCTACATGATGGTATTAGTCTTGTGTCAACTTTACCTTGTTACCTAATCAGTGTGGGATGTTTATCCCAATGTGTAACATTTGTTTTTATTGTTCATGTGGGGACTGCCCCTATTTCTGAAGTGTATAAAAATCTGTATTTCTGTTCAATAAAGGAGTTCCAGTTTGCACCTAAGCTAGTGTCGTCTAGTTCTTGGGTGCAGTGCCCAGCTATAATACCTTGGTCCTGTGTCCGAGCGGTGAGGAAACACAAGCAATCACACTGTACAAAAAAAAAATCCCCAATCACCCCCTCAGAGTAGTACAGTGTTACTATGGCAACACTGAACTACTCTGATGACAATATGTACAGTGCCTTGAAAAAAGTACTCCTACCCATTGAAATTTTCCACATTTTGTCATGTTACAACCAAAAACGTAAATGTATTTTATTGGGATTTTATGTGATAGACCAGCACATAATTGTGAAGTAGAAGGAAAATGGTTCAGTGTGATGTGCAGAGTTAGTTTTTGGCCACACATACCGTTTTTGCTATTAGGCCAGAAAGTTACATTTTGGTCTCAGCTGACCAGAGCACCTTCTTCCACATGTTTGCTGTGTTGCCCACATGGCTTCTCGCAAACTGCAAGCGGGACTTCTTATGGCTTTCTTTCAGCAATGGTTTTCTTCTTGACACTCTTCCCATAAAGGCCAGGTTTATGGAGTGCACAACTAATAGTTGCCCTGTGGAACAAGTCCCGTTTGCAGTTTGCGCATGTGGGGGACACAGCAGACATGTGGAAGAAGGTGAAGAAAACCTGTTTAGAGTCTGCAAAAGACTTAAGACTGGGGCTGAGGTTTAACTTCCAGCAGGACAACGACCTGAAACATACAGCCAGAGCTACAACGGAATGGTTTAGAACAGGGGTCCTCAAACTACGGCCTGCAGGCCACATGCAGCCCCCAGAGGACATTTATCCGGCCCGCCGGCAGGGGCGTATTTTCCGCGAGGAAGGAACACTAAGTACAGGGGCAGGCAAGGGGCTGCTGTATCTTACCTTGCTCTGTGTCCCAGTCCCACGACGATCCAGTCCAGGAAGCGCTGCTCCTTCATTCACTCCGGCCACTTCCTCACTAGATGTTTGCGCTGCCGCTCGGCTCCGCCTCCTTGGGCGCCAGAACTGTAGCTCAGGAAAGGCACACAGGCGGCCAATCACCTGCGAGGAGGTGGAGCCGAGCGGGCCCGCGAACATCGAGTGAGGGAGAGGCAGCTGACAGGTAAGTGTGCCGTGCATATGGTGCCTCTGCAACCAGTTATGCTGGCTGCAGCAGCACCATGCTGGAACAGGGGTCAGCAAGTTAAGTGTCATTGGTGTCAGTGGGAGGAATAGTGCCCCATCATTAGTGTCACTGATACTAATGATGGGGCATTATTCCTCCCACTGACACCAATGATGGGGCACTATTCCTCCCCCCACTGACACCAATGATGGGGCAGTATTCCTCCCCCCACTGAAACCAACGATGGGGCACTATTCCACCCCCCACTGACACCAACGATGGAACACTATTCCCACCCCCCACTGACACCAACGATGGGGCACTATTCCACCCCCCACTGACACCAACGATGGAACACTATTTCTTCCCCCCCCACTGACACCAATGATGGGGTACTATTCCTCCCACTGACACCAATGTTGGGACACTACCTCTACCCCCCCCCCCACTGACACCAATGACGGGGCACTATTCCCCCCCACTGACACCAATGACGTACTATTCCTCCCACTGACACCAAAGATGGGGCACTATTCTTCCCACTGACACCAATGATGGGACACTATTCCTCCCACTGACACCAATGTTGGGACACTATCCCCTTCCCCCACTGACACCAATGACGGGGGCACTATTCCCCCCCCCCCCCCCCACACTGACACCAACGATGGGGCACTATTCCTCCCCCCACTGACACTAATGATGGGGCACTATTCCTTCCACTGACACCAATGATGGGGCACTATTCCTCCCACTGACACCAATGATGGGGCACAATTCTTCCCACAGACACCAATGATGGGGCACTATTCCTCCCACTGACACCAATGATGGGGCACGTTTCTTCCCACTGACACCAATGATGGGGCAACGTTTCTTCCCACTGACACCAATGATGGGGCACTATTCCTCCCACTGACACTAATGATGGGGCACGATTCTTTTCCCACTGACACCAATGATGGGGCACTATTCCTCCCACTGACACCAATGATGGGGCACTATTTCGCTCCATAAGACACACTTGGGGGGAAATGTCTGTGCGTCTTATGGAGCGGCCAGCCCAGTATTCCCGCCGCCGTTGTATGTCCGCAGCCTCTGGTCATCTCCTGTAATATGTCCGCAGCCTCTGGTCATTCCCTGTACTATGTCCGCAGTCTCTGGTCATCTCCTGTACTATGTCCGCAGTCTCTGGCCATCTCCTGTACTATGTCCGCAGTCTCTGGTCATCTCCTGTACTGTGTCCGCAATCTCTGGTCATCTCCTGTACTGTGTCCGTAGTCTCTGGTCATCTCCTGTACTGTGTCCGCAGTCTCTGGTCATCCCCTGTACTGTGTCCGCAGTCTCTGGTCATCTCCTGTACTGTGTCCGCAGTCTCTAGTCATCTCCTGTACTGTGTCCACAGTCTCTGGTCATCTCCTGTACTGTGTCCGCATTTGTTCATAGTTTTTTTTTTTCAAACTATAGTCCGGCCCTCCAACGGTCTGAGGGACAGTGAACTGGCCCCCTGTTTAAAAAGTTTGAGGACCCCTGGTTTAGAACAAAGCATGTTCATGTGTTAGAATGGCCCAGTCAAAGTCCAGACCTAAATCCAATTGAGAATCTGTAGCAAGACTTGAAAATTGCTGTTCACAGGCACTCTCCATCCAATCTGATAGAGCTTGAGCTATTGTGCAATGAATAGGCAAAAATGTCACACTATAGATGTGCAAAGCTCATAGAGACATATCCAGAAAGACTTGCAGCTGTAATTGCAGCAAAAGGTGGTTCTACAAAGTATTGGCTTGGGGGGCTGAATACAAATGCACGCCACACCTTCCAGATATTTATTCGTAAAATATTTTGAAAACCATTTATCATTTTCCTTACACTTAACAATTATGTGCCGCTTTGTGTTGGTCTATCACATAAAATCCCAATAAAATACATGTACGTTTTTGGTTGTTGTAACATGACAAAATGTGGAAAATTTCAAGGGATATGAATACTTTTTCAAAGCACTGTAAAAAAATTGTAAAAAACAGAAAAAATGTAAAAATAGAAAAAAGTGTTTTAAAAAATGAATTTAATAACATACTGTCACCAATCAGTATCCCTGCTCATCGTCACACCAGTCATATGATGAGACTGTACTTTCTGGTGACAGAATGTAAGCAAAATTGTGAAAAAGAAACAAAGTTTATTGAATTTCTTCATTTTCTCAAAATTGTGACAAAAAATTACAACTTAAAAAAAACTTGCCATGCCTCTTAATAAATACTTGGATTGTCTACTTTCCAAAAAGGAGTCATTTGGGGGTTATATGTACTGTCCTGCCATTTTAGGGCCTCAAGAAATGAGTTAGGCTGTTAGTACTTCAGGACATCAGGACTGATCAATTTTCAATTATATATATACCATAGTTTGTAGACACTAAAACTTTTACACAGATAATAATGTACACTAATTTTTGCGTTATTTTTCCCAAAGAAATTAGTACAATACATTTTGGCCTATATTTATGGAGAAAGTTTATTTGCAAAACTTTTCTAACAGAAAGTAAGAAAAATTTTATTTTTAACCACTTGCCCTCCAGAGGATTTACTCCCCTTTCTGACCAGGCCATTTTTTTGCATTACGGCGCTGCGTTATTTTAACTGACAATTGCGCAATCATGCAATGCTACACCCAAATTAAATTTACGTCCTTTTTTTTCCCACAAATAGAGCTTTCTTTTGGTGGTATTTGATCGTCTGTGCGTTTTTAATTTTTTGCGCTATAAAAAAAAGACTGACAATTTTGAGAAAAAAAATAAAATTTTTGACTTTTTGCTATTAAACATGTCCAGTAAAAAAAATTAAAAAATCAAATTTCGTCATAAATTTAGGCCAAAATGTATTTTGCTACATCTTTGATAAAAATAAATCCCATTACATATAAATTAATTGGTTTACGTAAAAGTTATAGCGTTTACAAATGGCATTATATATACTGGGATTTGTTTTTATTTTTACTAGTAAGGGTGGCGATCAGCGACTTATAGTGGGTCTGCGGCGGGCATTCTGACACTGGGGGGAACTGACTTCCTCAGTGACACCAATTCAGTGATCAGTGCTAATAAAAAGCACTGACACTGTACTAATGGCACTGGGCCAGAAGGGGTTAACGTGGGGCAATCAAAGGGTTAACTGTGTGCTTTTTTTACTATGTGTGGCTGTGTTTGTGCTTCACTGTAAGCACACTGCTTTGCATGGCTGTGCTATGCGGTCACATCAAAGCTGATTTTGATATCGTGCGACTTACAGTGAAGTCACATGATTTCAAAGTCAGGTGACTTGCCGATTTGAGGTGCGATTTGCAAGACATCTGACACAGATGTCTATGCAAATTGCACCAAAAATAGTGCATACACTACTTTAGAAATCAGTGCGGCTCCGACCAAGTCGGAACTGAACCAATATTACTGCTCTAAATTAGTGGACAATAGGGTGCGACTTGGCATACGATTTGCAAGTCTCATGGCATGAAAATCACATGCCAAGTTGCACCCTCTATGACCAGGGGCTTAAGGCCTGAAACTGCTGCTGGGCACCATCACCTTGGATCTGATATCTGCAGGCACAGAGCTGCACTCATGTACACTCTATAGCTTTTTGTCAGCAGGTACATGAAACGTTATGTAGGAAGGTTAGGGGTGGCTGAGCTGGGACTGCACAGTCAGTAATTAGACACTTGCAGAAGAGGAAGGAGTATTAATGATTGTCAATCACTGCTCTCCACTCTGCCCCTCCATCACTCACCGGAGCTTCGGGCAGGGTAGGGGGCAGGCATGGTTGGCTCTTGCTCTCAGCCATGGGCTAAAAAACCAGAGGCAGCTGTTCAGCAGCAGGGTGGATCCAAGCAGTATTTTGGGGATCCTTCAGCTGCCCCGTCAGCTGATAGCAAGTAATAGCCTGCTATAACCTGACTCAGGCACAGGAGGGACAAAAGTGACCCACAAGAGAAGTATGGCCAAAAAAAGCTTTGGCCATACTTCTCTTTAGACCTTGTTCACACAGATGTACTTAAAGCGAAGCTCCACCCAAAAGGGGAAGTTCCGCTTTAAGCCTTTGTCCCTTGCTCCCCATTAAGGATTGGCATCTTTGGGGAGCGGGTACCTGAATTTGACAGGTACCCACTCCCACTTCCGCTGCGATCGCCTAGGCGATCGGAAGCTGAAGTTTTCCTTCCTCTCCCCGTAGTCTTCTGGGACACATGACAGGTCTCAGAAGATTATAGGGCCATTCACAAAGCACAGAACTTCTGGCGCATGGGCGGTGGGCACCCGGCTGTGAAGCCACAAGCTGTCACAGTTGGGTGCCCACACTAAAGATGCCGGTGCCGGGGAGAGAAGATGGCCGGTGAAACTAGCCGTGGTGAGGACACTGCTGGACCGAGGGACAGGTAAGTGTCTGTATTTTAAAAGTCAGCAGCTACAGGTTTTTGCAGCTGCTGCCTTTTATTTATTTATTTTTTCAGCTGGAACTCTGCTTTAAGTGTACATCTGTGTGGACTGCCATGTTTGCCTGCATGAGTTGCACAGGTGTTCTGTGAGTCCGCAGGCAGGCAGTCCCATTCTATGTCTATGGGATGCAGCGGCTGCACACATACAGACAATACTCCCAATTTGATATCAATGCAATGCATGTAAGCAGTTTTTTTGTGACAACTCTTTACTGGGGGTCACAGATCTCCGGAAAGCCTTTTCTGCACATACAGTGTGGGGTGAGACACAGGGGGCTTCAGATCTGGATATCCTGTCACTGATACTAATAAGGGACCATCTTTCCAAACTTGTTACTATGTTTTCACAAACAGACTTTTTTAACTTTGCGTGTCGCTGGTCTGAATGGCATGAGCACTTTGGTATAACTTTGTTGCACTTTACTGTATTTATTTGCACAATCAGTGAGTTTGCATGGTAACATACAGTTCTGTTTATAGTATATATATCATTAAGGTCCCATATATTAGAATTGGTTGTCAGGAATCTCATACAGCAGATGCTCATTTCTGTGCAGCAGGTTCTCATTCTTATGCGTATGTGCAGAATCGTGCGCATAGAAGTCTAACAAGAACAGCAAGGACTAGAAAGCGCACACGGACGCACATTGGCACATACAGTGCTCAGCATAAATAGGTACACCCCTTTTGAAAAGCAAGATTTTAATCAGTATCTCAATGAACACAAGAACAATTTCCAAAATTTTGACAAAACTGAGTTTTAAACAACATTTGTTTAGCTCATTACATGAAAGTAAGGTTAATAATATAATTTGGATTACAAAGTCTCCAGTTTTACTCAAATTAGTTGATGCAACAATGAATACACCCCACAACAAAAACTACTACATCTAGTCTTTTGTATGACTTCCATGATTTGTAAGGACAACACCATTCTTCTAGGCATGGAATGAACAAGTTGGCAATATATTGCAACATCTATCTTTTTCTATTTTTCAAGAATGACCTCTTTCATAGCCTGGATATTGGCTGGAGAGTGATGCTCAACCTGTCTCTTCAGAATTCCATGTGGGTGTTCTATTGGGTTCAGATCAGAAGACATGCTTGGCCACTGAATCACTTTCACTGTGTTCTTCATGTTGGAAAAGAGCATGACGACCAAGGGCACAGAGTGATGGTAGCATCTTCTCTTTCAATATAGAGCAGTACATCTGTGAATTCATGATACCATCAATGACATGCAGCCCCCTGAAACCAGCAGCACTTATGCAGCCCCACAGAAGGACACTGCCACCACCATGTTTCATTGTAGGTGCCATGCATTTTTCTTTGTACTCCTCACCTTTGTGACGCCATACAGTTTTGATGCCATCAGTTCCAAAAACATTTACCGTGTTTCCCTGAAAATAAGACAGTCTTATTTTTTTTTTGGCTCAAAAAAACACACTAGGTCTTATTTTCGGGGTAGGTCTTATTTGTTAAATGGCCAGGTTTGAAAAGGGGTGCAGAGGTGAGCTGCAGGCAGTTGTGGATGAGGGTTACTATGGAGAGGGCCGGTTGATGACAGTTGTGAACTGCAGTCAGGTGTTGCAGGGATGACTTGACAGGTGAGTTTCAGACATGGTGCAGATATGAGCCACAGAAAGGGTGCAGGGGTGAGTTGCAGACGGGGAATGCAGAGGTGAGCTGTGGCCGGGGGGTGCAGAGCTGAGCTGTGGCCAGGGGGTGCAGAGCTGAGCTGTGGCTGGGGGGTGAAAAGGTGGGTTGCAACTCAGCTCACCTCTGCACCCCCCCAGCCGCAGCTCACCTATGCACCCTGTCTGCAACTCACCTAACTCAATTTACCTCTGCAACACCTGACTGCAGCTCACCTTTGCACATCCCCTCCCCCTCCACTGCCCTCATATGGTTAACTAGCTTTGCAAAACACAGCTGTCAGCAGCCGACCCCTCTCTGTAGTAACTCCTGTTTCGGGTCCTATCTTCCCACACAGTGCACCAAGCACACTTACTCACCGCTCTGCCTCTTCCCCACTGGCCGGTGATCACCTCTGGGGCATCGGCTTCCATGCATTAGGCTGCAGGAGGAGATG